GGTATTAATAAAAACGTTTAACTCTGCTGACAGTAGTTTAGTTACCTACCTACTTATTAAAATTTTTTTCTTCACGAGATCTATCCAAAAAGCACTCGCGATCGACCGTTTGAGCACCCCTGGTCTATAGTGTTTGTAAGGTGTCTAAATAAATAAATATTTGGTCACTATATTAGGTAGCAAGATAAATCAACAAGTACATCTCAATTACCTTGAGGATCAACAATTGGTAATATGTTTACTACTATTTAATCAAAATTGCTTACCCAGTATACAGAACTTGCGTGGGAATCTCTGGATCCCATATAGAAAGGTATAACAGTTACTCTAATATTCTCAGTAGTTTCTTTGTGTACATCTGAAAGTTCTAACCAAGGATGATTTTTGTTCTGCCATGCTTTTAATGTTTCTTGAGGAACAAAAGGAGGATCTAAAAAACAGTTATTTAAATAATTACTATTTACAAAGATTATTCAATACTAAAAGGATAATAGTATATTATTTAAAATAGCTACAGTAGATTTCAAAGTTTTAAATAAATAGTTTATTTATGGTTATACCAATTACAATCATTAAATAAATCATATCATATTAACAGTTTTAGAATTCAATAATAATTATACACAATTTACACAAATAAATAGAATAAATACCTAAATGACAGTTTACAGTGACAGCCTATATTGTATTTTAAAAAGATTTTTTCAGCTTTTTTCGAAAACTATTCAGAGAGCTAGAAAAAAAGTCTACATCTAAACCATTTCCAGATTGACACATTCGTCTTATAGGTCTATTTAGACAATAGTTTGTTTGTTGGAATTCTAAGTGAAAAACGTCCTTGGATCTTGTGCACCTTTGTGGAACCCTAAGATCTATTCTATGCAAAATTTGAGGCGAATCTATCATTCCGTTTACAATCTTGAAAAGAAAAACCAAATCTAGCATTAAACAACGATTTTCTAATGTTGGTATATTAAGTAATTTTAAAATGTCACAATACACTATATCTTCTGAAGAAATTCCTAATTTATAGCCTACAAACCGCAAACATTTTTTCTGAACTTTCTCAATGCTTTCAATATGACATTTATATAAAGGAGGCCAAATAGTGCTGGAATATTCCAGAACTGATCTAACCATAGAACAATACACACTTTTAAAACAATCTAGGTTATTGAATTCTGACAAAGTTCTTTTCAAAAATCCAAGTAATTTAAAAGCTTTATTACAAATAAAATTATAGTGATTTTTGAAACATAAAGTGGGATCAAAAAATACACCTAAATCCATGAAAGTGTTTGTTGGTTCCAGAAATATATTATTTATAGAGTAATTAAAACAGGGTTGTGAGTTTCTAAAAAAGCGCATTATTTTACATTTATCGATATTAAGTGAAAGGTCATTCTTTGTACACCATTTTGAGAAATTGTTTACATCTTTTTGCATTTTTACACAGTCTCTAACATCCTTAATAATTCTAAAAATTTTCAAATCATCAGCATACAACAAAATAACACAATTTTCAAAGACTTCTTAAATGTCATTTATGAAACAAATAAAAAGAATAGTCGATAAATGACCACCTTGTGGGACGCCAGACCTAACCAAAATCTCTTCAGAAAGACAGTTCTTGACTTTGACAACCTGAAGCCTGTCTGTCAGGTAGCTTTCCAACCACTCAAGCAGGGATCCATGAATTCCTAGTACCTCTAGTTTTTTTTTATAAGAATCTTGATGTTAACACGATCGAATGCCTTTGAGAAGTCGGTATAGATCACATCAACCTGAGCTCCCTTCCCAAAGGCATCCAAAATGAATTCTTTTAGGATCACTAGATTGGTGGTCGTAGACCTACCCGGCATAAAGCCGCGTTGTTCAGGAATAATTAATCTTTTTATTGGAAAAAATATTTTTGACGCAATAATTGACTCAAAAATCTTTGCAAAAATAGAAATTTTGGAAATGAGTCTGTAATTTTCTATACATGTTTTACTACCATTCTTAAAAATAGGAGAAATATAACTTTTTTTCCACGCTTCTGGGAAAGTGCCAGTACTTGATGAAAAACGAAAAATTTTTAGTAATACAGGAGACAGAACAAAACGACATTTATGTACAAAATAAGGTGAAATTTCATCAGGGCCACTACTAAGTTTTAGATTTAATTTTTCTAACTTATTAAAAACATCTATTAGACTAATATCACAGCTGCTTAAACTAACTGTTTTATTATAATCAAAGCTTGAAATATCACAGTTACCATACATATGACTTAGAGAAATGACTTAGAGAAATGAAACTTAAAAGAAAACTTATTTTTACTGATTGCGATAAAATTTTTCTCTGGGATCACTTTAGAACATCCAAAAAACAACTTAAGCACAAAATTCACTTATTTTCTGTACTTTAGACTACTAAAAGAGCACTATTAATGATGAGAGATTTTTCTTGCTGTGGCAGTGGACATTAGAGGCTAGTTGATGATGGCTTTTTCAGCAGTGGACATTAGAGGCTAGTTGATAATGATGATGATCTTCAGTATCTCTTATTAAACTCGAGATACACACCAAACAATCTAGGTATCTATGCAGTTTGTACAGTTTCAGTTTGCTCATGCATTACTTACTAAAAATTCTTCATTTATTGTCAAACATTACCTTTAAATCTACTTAATTTTAATTTCATCAAAACTCACTTAGAAAACCTACCTGAGATGAAAAAAAAATTGTCCATATTTTTTATTTAAGTGTGTCATTAATCACACCAATGACAAAAATATAAAGTTAATTTACAGACATTTAAAAGGAATATCACGAATAAAGTTATTTTTAGTACTGTATAATGTTGGTCATGTTACTAAGTAATCATGGAAGAAGATACCATGGACAGACAAAGTCACCAATGAAGAAGTACTGGAGGATGAACACAACCCCGTGGATTTGGTCAACATCGTGAAGAGCCGTAAGCTAGAGTACTTGGGACATATAATGAGAAATCAAGGTAGATACGAGCTACTCCGATGCATTTTGCAGGGTAAAATTGAAGGAAAAAGAGCCACAGGATGAAGAAGAATATCCTGGCTTGCTAACCTGAGAGCATGGTATAGAAAGACCTCAACACAGCTACTTCGTATAGCAACCAACAAAATCATCATAGCCAGAATGATAGCCAACATAAGGAATGGACAGGCACCATAAGAAGAAAGAAGAATGTTACTAAGTAGTCACTGTATTCAAATGTGCAATTTATCATTTTTGAAATACAATAAAATTATACTCACCACCTTTTGGATTTGCCATTAGGAATTTATCAAAAAGTTCATGGTTTAAGGGGGTCTTTTCTGCACTAGCATAGGGGATAATATCTTCATGGGCAACATAATCCAAGCCTGGAATTGCATATAAACTCCTGGATGAATCTTGATTGCCTAAGAAAGTTACAGCCTCTGTTTGGGCTCTCTGCAAAACAAAATGATGATAAGTAATTCCAATAATTAAAATATAACAAAGTAAGAAAGCACAGTGTTGGACATTCAGTTTCATAGGGGTCCTACCCTCTCTTATGAGACTGATACTCAATTCTGTATCATAAATAATAAATTTATTTTATAATTTATGATGAGTTCCCAAGAATATACTTTATAAAACAATCTCCCAAAGGCTTTGAATGTATTTTTAACTACCCTTCAAACTATGTTATTAAAATATTATATCTTACAATGTAGGGACAGTCCCTTTGATCAATCAGCACTTGATAAAAGGTGTGTGTTCTTCCTCTGACTTCTTTACCCACTCCTGCAGATGCCTCTTCCTCTCCTTCATTCCGATTTGGCAAATCTCTGTCATAAACACGAGCTAACCAGGGAAAAAGTACAACGCCTCTATAACCGAAAACCCTATGCAAAATCAATTGTCCTGTTTCATACTTTCCAGAGACCTTTGGTGTTTCTAACCTACCAACTTCTGCCAATCTAAAAAATTAATGTTTTTCAAACTGTACAATAATATTTACAACATCTATACCTTGCATAATTTCTGCGAGCTACAAGTAATCTAGAAACAACTGGTATAACATTGCAACGAAGTGTTATTGAAACTATGTCCATTTTACATCTTCAATGGCCAATACTGAAAATAATTTATTTTTCTTTTTACAAAATGATTTTTCAAAGAATGTTGTACATTTGGAATACGAATATAAGAAGGTGGCTTTTTTACTGTTACTTATATGGTTTTAATAATAATAGGTATATTTTTATTATCTTTGCCAAAATGTTTTGAAATTTTTGGGATGAATGACAGGTATTTATCATTGATTGACGTAGGACAAAAGTCAAAAATAACAAATCTTTATTGACGAAATATGCACGTCTATTTTAAATTGGTTGTGACGTATTCATGACATCACAGTTAACCCATATCATTGTTTAAAATGCCCATATTATGTTCATAGTTCTTTAGATGTCAGATTTACAGTGATATCATTGCATATCCCTAGTAAACTTCTAAAAGTTCTGATAAATAAAACCAAAGGGAATATAAATAAATTTTTATTCTTAGTGTTGTCAGTTTTTTATATTAACGTAATAATCACTGTGGCCTATGTCGTATCATAAATATTGTTTTTTTTTTGAGGTTTATAAGTTTAATTTTATAAAATTTGTTTGTTCAACAATAAAATAGTATATATATATTTTTTAAAGTAGTTATAATAAAATTGCCTTAGTTTTCGACAAATGATGTATGACATATGTCATAACAAATCAATTTTTGAATTTGACAATTTACTTGTCAAAATTTTGCAGCATTTAATGCAATGATTAAATAACTTTTAAAAAATAATAATAACTAAAATGAAAACTATAAATCGTAAATTATAACATCAGTATTAATAACATTAAAAGACTGATTTTCCAGCTGTACGTCTATATAAATAATCATCAAGTAAGTTCAAAGTAAAGATATCCTTTTTATACATTATGAAATATAAATATTTTTAGAATGTCCGAAAACGTTGAACTTCAGCAGTTGGTCGACGAAGATTTTGAAGAGGAATTCAAAATCCAAGAACCAAAACCTTGTTGCCGCTGTCCCTATTTAGGACTAATCTTAGCTACATTAAGTTCGCTATTTTTTTCATTATGTTCTGTGATCGTTAAATGGATGACTGATGTACATCCTATGGCTTTAGCAGCTTATCGGTATTTGGGGGTGCTTTTGCCAGCAATACCGATTATAATATATAGGGAAGAAAAAGTTTTTCCCAAAGGAAAACGTATAATGTTACTCTTAAGGTCCTTTACTGGCACAGTATCGTTAATGCTGAGTTTTTATGCCTTTCGACATATGCCTCTTGCCGATGCCTCTGTAATAGTGTTCTCTGTCCCTGTCTTTACAGGTATTTTTGCCAGAATGTTCTTAAAAGAACCCTGTGGGTTATTTAACGTATTTTCAGTGATTCTAACTTTAATTGGAGTTGTATTAATAACAAGGCCTCCTTTGCTATTCGGAAATACTATAAATTCACTTGGTGATAATGGTCAGAAGACTGAAATGTGGGGTGCAGTTGCAGCATTTTCAGCCACATTATTTGGGGCCAATGCCTATGTTTTACTAAGGGCTTTAAAAGGAATACATTTTTCTGTTATTATGACAAACTTTGGTGCATTTGCATTTATTCAGTGTCTTCTTGTTACAGTTTTGTTGGGTGCTCTGTGCTTACCCTCTTGTGGGTTAGATAGATATCTTATAGTAGCCTTGGCAGTTTTTAGTTTTTTGGGTCAAATTCTGCTCACAGTAGCATTGCAAATGGAGCAGGCAGGTCCTGTTGCTATTGCAAGAAGTAGTGATATTGTTTTTGCTTTCATATGGCAAGTAATGTTTTTCAATGAAGTACCAAATCGGTTTTCTGTTGGTGGTGCTATATTGGTTTTAAGTTCAGTGCTGTTAATTGGACTCAGAAAATGGGTTTTAGCTTTGCCTTATGATGCTAAATTGAGAAGGAACCTGAGTTTCTTGACAAAATAATGGAATTACATGCCACACAATAGATATCCATGGATAGGTAGTGTTAATTTTTATCTACTTTTATTACATTATTTTAAATGTAATTAAGTTGTATTTTTTGTTGTTGATTATTTTAATATTAGAATTAAATTATGATCTTTAGGTAATATGTTCTAGTCAGAAATGTATAACATTTTGGTTAAATTGACAGAAGCAGGTGTCTACAATGTACATAACCTAAGCATTTTATATTGATGAAGCTTGTTTGTTATTTATTTAACCTTTCATTGGGCAGAACATGGCAATTATTTACTGAAGCATGTGTGAATTGTCAGTCTGCATAGTATTTTTTGCTTCTGTACCCTGGGATCAAAAATGATCAATTCCATTTTTACAACAATGGAGATAAACATGTATATGTGACAAACACAATAGACTGGCATTTCGTGATAATCGTGATACATTATTATTTTCTTACTAATATATATGAGTGTAATTTATTAATGAACAACATCGATTTTATCGTTTAAATACTTTAATGCACAGAAAATGCCACTAATAAATTAGATTTGACCAGTTGTGAAAATTTGGTACTTGATGAGACTAAGGTTTACTAAGTGCTACGTATGGTCAGTGCTGCTATATGGCGTAGAGGGCTGGACACTCAAAACGAGGGATATAAACAGATTAGAAGCTTTCGAAATGTGGCTTTATCGCCGTATCCTAAAATACCATGGACAGCGAAAATCACAAATATAGATGTCCTTAAAAGAATAACCAAGAACGCCAACTTTTCGAAACCACCAAGAAAAGGAAAACGGCGTATCTAGGTCACATCATGCGAAATGAAAAATACCAGTTCCTCCAACTTATAATCGAGGGTTAAATTGAAGGCAAGAGAGGAATGGGACGCAAGAAAATGCCCTGGCTCCGAAACATAAGGCAATGGACAGAGATTAACTACATACAATCTCTGATACATATTGCAAGAAATAGAGAATTAATGGAAAATGTGATCGCTAACATCCATTAGTGGATTTGCATCTGAAGAAGAAGAAGGTACTTGATGTCAGACGATTTGACCCCTTTTGAAAATTACAACATTGGATTTGCCTAAATCTGAAACTAACAAAATGCCACTATAAACAGGTACGGATTCTGCCATTTCAGGTGCGGAGAAATACCATTATTAAATAATCATAAGGTTTGATTCAACCCGTCACATTACCGTTTTTGAATGGTTACGAGTATGAGCAGTAACACATTTTTCGTTAATGAGCATACTCGTAACCATTCAAGAACGGTATTTGTGACGGGTTGAAACAAACCTATCGTAGGCATTATTTTAAACGGGATTTTTTTGTTGAATATTTTACAACTCATCAAACAAAACATAAAAACAAATGTCTGTTTACATTTATTTAGTATGTCCCTAAATTGGTCCAATGTTTTAATGCAAAAAGTTTTGTGTATAAAATAATTTTGAGTACAGCCCTGCTTTTAGTATACAGTTGTAACATGGAAAGTTTCTCACCTTTGTCGTTGCAATTTTATACGTTTAGTGCCTTCCTGTCACTTTGTTCTTTAACAACTTTTGTTTGGCGTTGTTTCCCCTATCGAATTATTCATATTTCAGTAATATTAACTCAAGTTTACAACTGATTCAGAGGTATAGTCATGTGAGCAAGTCCCTAGTTATTATTGGTCGAAATGGACTTGCCCATTTGAAATTGTCAGGGTTTGACTAAATTTGAACATCACACACACAAGGTAAACTCCGTCAGGATGTGCAGTTCCAAAATTTACCCAAAATACATCAGAAAGTATTTCTGTACATGTGCCTGATGAAAAGTTAAAAAAGAATGACAACTAGTAGAATACTCACTAATAAAATATTGAGTATTTAATAATAAACAAAATTTAAAAGTAAAAAAAATTATTACACCTCAAGAATGTTACACAGAAAAAACAATAAACAATTCAAAAATTTAAAAATCTCCAAAGAAACAAAAATTATTATTTTTTAAATATGAATATTTTTATGGAAATGGACCAATGTACGTGGATGGACATTCAGAGGTGAAACTGGAAGAAATCTGTCTAGTCGTATCATTTCTCATAAGAGTGACTGTAGACTAAATAAACCCACTTGTGCTTTGGCAGGACATACTATCGATCTAGACCATAAGATAGATTTCAACAATGTAAAAATATTAGCCAGAGAGAAAAATAAATTTAAGAGAACATTCTTAGAAATGGTACATATCAGCAAGATTGATGACAACAATCTGAATAAAAGATCTAAGATCCAGAATCTTAGCAAAATTTACAATTTTATTTTGACTTTTGACTGAGTTTTTCTGCATCTCAGAGTGTTCTTGTCTTGTTTCTTAAATTCGTTTATTAATTGCTATAATTATCATGATTAACTTCGGTTATTATTCAGATAGTTCATTTTGTTTTTGGTTGTTTGTTTTTTCTAAACCTACTTACTAAATACTATTTTCTTTGTATTGTTTGATATAATGAACTTTTTTAAATTTCCCTCTCAATTTAAAGTTGGTAATATGGTTGGTAGTACTTAAAATCAAAAACGGTATTTTGTTAGACATCAGTTTGAAAGTTTGTTTTTTGTAGTTACATCGAACTATTTAAACAACAATAGTTCCTCCTACTGTCTCTTTCTGTTCGTGAGATGTGACTGAATTCAAACCTGCAAAGATGACTGTTTTTTTGTCAAACATGTCGTCTTACTTTTTGCATTTTAAACTTTGTAACGTATTCATTAACTTTTAAGTTATATTTAAATTTTAACAGTTTTAATGCCTTCAGCAATTCATGTCATATTATGTTATTTAACGTTGTGTTTATATGCTACGAATCTTACTTTCTGGTAAGTTTTTATAACTTTTATATTGCATCAGTCAAAGTTTATAACACAGTAATTTTTATTGTAGACCTTGATAAAGGTGGCAAACAACCACCGAAAGCTCGGATTCAGAATAAATAGTACGCCTTAGCAAAGCTCTATTTTTTATTGACTACCACACCCAAAAAGAAAAAAGTATTTACATATATTTTTTCCAAACTAGTCACAAAAATTTTTGGACTACCTTGTCTATATATATATATATATATATATATATATATATATATATATATATATATATATATATATATATATATATATATATATATATATATATATATATATAAATTATTTTCGTACCTTCCGTATACATGATATTTTAGAGAATGTTATTGTAGACACTGTGCAAACACAATATTTTTTTTAGTTGCAATTAAAAATCCATATAACCGTATTTTTATATTTAGTTGAGGTTTACTTTTAAATCGTGTAGGTATCAGGTTATGAATAAATACAAAGAAGAACCATGACAACAATTCTTTTTTGATTTATGTTACTGTGCAAGTAAGTTAACTTATATTTGCAATTAAATTAGTTCAATCTGAATCGCATTTTCTTCCTAACATTAGTATTAAAGTTTGTTTTCATTAAAAAAGGGATTCAATGATAAAACGTTCTGAAAATGTAAATGATTCTGAAAATCTGCGTAAGTAACCGCTGAGTCAGTGATATGGAAGATAGCTCTCTTTCTTATCACTGCGTTAATTCATCAAGCGGAAATACTTGGGCACTATACGAGCCCTAACAACTAGGTATATGTTGGAACAAGCAGTTATTTTGCAAATAAAATGCCAATAAACTTTGTTATAATTTTTTTTTAAATTGTAAATATGAAATTAACAACCATTTTATGAGGTATGGAATTATTTTTACAGTTTAATTATATATTTTGATATATTATTATAACCTAATAAGATTGATAATATTATTATAACCTAATCAGGCGTAACGTCGCCCTTAGCGTAAATAACAGCCTGAACTCATTAAAGATTGTATCAACTAGCTCTTCACAGAATTCAGGGGTGAAATTATCCCATATTTCTTGTAATTTGGCACGTAGTTGTGCAAAGTACGCTGGGGGTTGTTTCTTAGGTGTTGTTTCATTTTGTGCCATAGTGTCTCTATTGAATTAAGATCCGGTCTGCTAGAAGGATGTGACAAAACTTGAATGAAATGTTATATCTCCGGATATTTATATCTTTGCTGCACTTGGTACAAACGAATATTCAAGGATATCTTGATATTTAGCTGCGTTTACTATGGTCTCAATAAAATGTAAAGTTCCCAACCCTTTGGCCGATATACAACTCCACAGCGTGATGCCCTGTGGAAACTTTACAGTTCTTTTGAAAAAATCCTATTATGACTAGAATTCGAGAAGCATGGCACTTTTTCCCGAATCACACGCTTTCGATAATCTCCTACACATACATCAAATTTACTTTCGTCGCTATAGATAACTTTGTCCCAGTTATGTTTGGTCCACGAAAGTTTTGATTTAGCCCTGTAGCGATTCCTTTTCTGAGTTTTCGTCAGCAATGGTTTTTCTTTGGCCTACTCGAATAAATAAAAAAATAGAAAAATTATATTGCAAAGAAGAACCTATCAAACATACCTTATAAAAACTTAGACCGCTTTTGTGGATATATTTGGGACAGTATTATCTGTAAACATTTATCCCAGTTTCTATATTCCTTCTAGCAGTTACTTCTTGTAGTGTATTTCTTCTTCCCGACTTACGTATTCTAATTAAATGCTAATACTCCATACTCCTTTGAGAAACAGCTTTTAGACGGTCTGAGCTTTTGTCGCAAACATCATTACTGGCAGTTTCACCATATTTCTTAATTATATTAAACACAGTAGTTGTTGCTACAGTGAATTCACTGGAAATTTCACGCATTTTTTTCCCTTCATGGTAATGAGGAATAATAATTTCTCGAACTTTTGGGTCAGTAGGTTTTCCAAGTTCCGTTATTATATTTTACTATTTAAAGGTCGATTCAGACACATCAGTCCCGTCACAGTCTCAGCGCCGAACCGGTCCTGTTTGGTCACAGAACTATCAACTATCTGACAGATGGGAAACTGT